CTTAAGTTGCATTTTGGCTTCGTCAGTGCGAGACAAACTCGGAGTTGGTGAGCTGTTGTGTTTCGCCCAACTTACGACTTCATAGAGGAACACTCACTTTGCTTCGGTATTACGTCCAGCGAACACTATTTACAGAAGAACTCGAACGGGCGCAGCGTGCGTTGAAGCCAGCGATTCACGTATCCACTTTGTGTTGTAACTGTTCCCATATGGTGCTTATGTGAGAGATTGAATGCGTGCAACTGATTACGAATTTTGGAGGGAGTGCGATGCTCATAGCACATTTCAGCCCTGTTCTCCTCGCAACTCTGGAGCGAAGCTTTGCAAAACGCGGCCGGCTGAACTTTCTCAATATTTGACACCGGACACGCCGTCACGGGAATGAGTTGACCGCTAACTATGGCAACGCAAGCCTTAGATGACAAATTGGAGAAAGTGAGCAAAATTGTGTATTCACTGCGGGTGATTTGTATATCGTTGGATACGTTGAGCGTTTTGTAGAGCATAAGAATATATAGCAAAAGTGTTGTTGGAAACAGGAGAAACTGGGTCGTCTTCATATTGGGGTATGCAGCGCAGCGATATTTGGGGCCACATCACATGAAAAGCGCTTACCCGCAATTGAGTGGGTTACAATGTTCCCGCACTACACTAAGTAAGTGTAGTCCTCGACTATGAAGCGATTCCTATCCCTATCCTTCGGGTTTTCGCTGGAACTTCCCTCTCAACTTGAAAAAATCTTACAACCAGTTGGAGCCCGTGCCAGCCACCCGCTTTAAATCCTGGTTGATTCAAATTAGAAACTCATTTCGAGCGCAGCGGCGATAATTCAATTACCTCGCACGTGAGAATATGATAGAAACCTCACATACATTCGATCAAGACCACAATGCAGAAAGCGTCTGTAGCGCTCCTATCTTGATGGCTCATTGGCCGCTTTCAGACTTCGACGACCGTCCGTCCGACACGTGCGTGCTGCGACGGCGGTCGCTAGAGTAGTGGTGACAGCGGTGGCACGTGATATAGTGTTGTCAACAACGGTCATGCGCCGCCGTCGCAGTACGCACATGTCGGACGGACGGACGGTCGGATGAGCCGTTGGCATCTTTCATAGTCCACGACCAGACGCGCGACCGGTCGTCGATCGGTCGAGGAGGCCGCGCTAGTTATGGGTGCCGCCGTGGACGGTCCCGCGCGATCAGTCGAGCGACCAATCGAGCGACCAGTCGCTAGCGACCGGCGACCAGTCGCTCGTGAGATGGGTCCGCGACCAGTCGCGCAACTGGTCGCCGGTCGCTAGCGAACGGTCGAGCGACCGATCGCGCGACTGGTCGCGCGACCGGTCGTGGACTATGAAAGATGCCGTTGAGGTCTGAAAGCAGCAACTGAGTTGCATAAGTGATAACATGTGCGCAGTGCGCACATTTAGTTAGCAGTGGAGATCGAACTCGCGCGCATTCCAGCACTATCCAAATTCGTACTTTCTCAAGCTTCACGAGATCTTCTTGTGAAACTTAACAAGCTGAGTTTAACGGTATCTTCAGCTATTGAATCACTCCACTCTGAACCGACTTGTGGAGAAAACACGAAAAAGACGCGAGTTCACGGTATTTGCGTGAACTTTCGAGCTCTTCCAACAGTAGTAACCTACCCGCTGTTCCAAATAGGAACTTCGTCTAACAGTCAGCCTCAGCACGTTGAATTAGATTCGAGTTATTAGTATTCTACAGTTATATTTTGGCCGACTTGATACAATTCGGTCTCCTCTACTGCATGGTCCTAGCTATCAGTGCCAGCGCACCTGGTGAACTGAGCTGCTTTTATTTCTATACCAAATCGATTTACGCGCTGCAATATATATTGTCCAGGCCTTCAAATGAATGCTATTAAATGATACTCAGACTATTCCCTGACGTTGTCTTTGCTTTTTTCATTTTCCAGTCCTTTGCTCTACAATGACTGTTCTTCATAGTGTGCTGGAAGTGAATGTACAATTCTTGTGACTGTTTCCGCGCATTGTGTATGGCAAGGGTGGGGAAAAGTGAACCGTCTGACAAAATGCCAGACCCATCGATGGAAGGGTCTATAGAGCGATTTTTCGTGACAGCTGCCGCCCTTGTAGTGAACCATTTCTCACGAATGCACCCTTCAGGGACAAAACGAATTTTATTTTCAGGAGATCACCAATTCGGTGGCGCTTATTCTTGGGATTCAAACAGTTACTATTCGGTTGAGCAAGGAAATGAAGTTGATACACAAAACCACACAGCAAAGGAAAAGCTAGCTTGTTGACCACCGAATTCCCGCGGAGTTCTAACTGCAGTCGACTACTGCCTGTCGATTCCATGGCTATCTTAAAGCGAACGAAACACCCTTTGAACATAGGAGGCATGTCTTGAGAACATGCTATCTCAAACTGAGCCCTTTAGGTTTTTGAATTACCAGCCAGTAGAGCTCAATAGATTGAGTTCAGTAGTATATTCAGCTTTTAAATCCTCGGCTTTGAAGCAACTTATAACGAAAAAAAGCTCGATTTTGCGTGATGTTATGATTCTGGGAATTGAATGAGCATCAATGCGAAATATGCAAAAATACGCATAAAGCTTTCGTCCTGACTTTGATGCGATTTTCATTCCAGTCCGTACGTATGTCCCTTTTCAAAACGCACCACACTGAGATAGCCTTCAAATTCCTTCCAATGAGGGTTTTCTGTTTATCTAACAAATTGGATAGATTCGTCGATTGATGACGATCTGTTTTCTCTGGTCTTACAATTTGTATTTCCTTACCAGAACGAAATAGAGCACTTAGGTAGTGATTTGTTGCCTCCAATGCTAATTTGTTGCCTCAAACGCTGCTTGTACAGAATAACATCCCTGCCCCGTGGCTTTTATTTTGCACAAGATTACCAAAATTACTTGAAGCCACGGAATTTTCCGAAATTTTTCTATTAATCTAGGACCGCTGCCGTTACTCAGTTCGAACCGAACTATGCACGTTTGATGGTACCTTGTTTTGACGAGCCGGATTTCAAGGCAACATGGACAGTAACTGTGATTCACCCAAAAGGGACCACAGCTCTTGCCAACGGAAGAGAGATAAGCAATACAGAGTGAGCCAGATATGTTTTACCTTTTTTACTCGAAAGCACGTTAAACCGACCCATCTTCGTGTACTCGCGAGCAAAGGCTCATTCATTTTTTACCTTCGGAAGCATTTTGAACCTAACTTCTTATGTTTCGGCCCGCTTCACATTGCCACAAGTGCTTTGCGGCAAATTTTGAAATGCATTTAGCTTTTTTTGATTGTTCACGCACATCTTTCGTATGAAACATTTCAGGGATCCAGTCACTCCTTGGATAGTGAGTAAATTTGAAAGAACGCCAAAAATGTCTACATATCTTCTGGCAATCGCCGTTGGCGAATTTGAGTTCATTCAACAATACACCAATAGAGGAGTCAGAGTAGGTTTATTTTTCAGACATTCAATGCTTCATCAGCTACTCCGTCTAGTTTCATTCAGTTCCGAATATGGTCACGCCAGGGAGCCCAGAATATGACGTCCTATGCGTGCTTTACCGGCATTAAATGTTTGGAATTTTTCGAATATCGTCTCGGCATTCAGTATCCACTACTGAAGCAAGGTTTTCAAAGCTGCATCCGGGATTCTTCTCCCTTGAAACTCGTGTTGGTATTAACATAGATAGATAATTTACAGCCTAGTCATTTAGACATGCTCGCTTTGCCCGACTTCGCCGCTGGTGCGATGGAAAATTGGGGATTGATCACCTATAAGTTCAATACGATTTTACAACTTTCGAATTGCAGATTCCTCAAAACCCTCCTTTTCAGAGAGAACTCGATCTTGTACGATGTAAATATCTATGATCCCTCGAACAAATACTCTGTTTCGTCGACTATAGCCCATGAGGTGGCCCATCAGGTTTGTTTGCTTGATTGCTAAAGCACAGCAATGTCCAAGATTTTCATCTATGAAAGTAATGAAGTGTTATTATGAATGTGGGCATTGATCAGGATTTCCAATTTTAATGCAGATCTTCACGTCAGGAAGAGAAGTGCGGTATTCCTCAGGGCGGTCTTCATATTTTGTCTTTTCTTGTACTGGGATTCGAAGCCTACACACTCATGTGCCGAAAAGAGAGCCGCTGCGGTCTGACCTTGACGCTTGACTGTGTATAGTATGCACCTCTGCTTCTTAACAATCTTCTCAGTGAATGCTGCTAATTTGAGAGGTTACGCATACTGAGACTTAACTGTCATCCATATCTCTTACTTGAACTTACCATGCACAGCATACCTTGCCTATATGTATGGCGTTTATTTTGCAGTTATCAAGTGATATCCCTTATCACTGAATTTCAAAAAATATGTTTTCCATATAATGTTCCCACGTGCTGGTGTCCCCATAAACTAATTATAGTGTATGGGAACACCAGCACATAAGAAAACAGTAAGCGATAGCAGCTCATAGAGTCTGAAAGACTTCTGGCAAAAGTGCAGTCTGATAGTGGTCAATTATCTCTATCTCTTTCGAACTCCTTTCCAGCACAGCTACTGTATGGGACACACACACATACACATCAAGCACTAGTCAGGTGTATGAGGATTTGCAGTATTATTGAAACTGTTCAAGTAAATATACCTGGCGATGAAGACCGCAATATTTCATTCATGTTTGTTGGGTCATATGACGGAAGTGTTGATGCCAAGTAGTTCATCTGTTGTGAAAACTAGGTGTGAACAAAGAGGAAACCAAAAACACCTGATTATAAGACTTTTTTTGAGCTGATAATGTCCAAAATCAAAAACGGTTATGAGACGAGAAGGGTGTTCGGACGAGATATCAGTTGTTACAGAGCAAATTGTATTAGCTATCGATGTGTATGAACCGAATGTATAATATTTACAATAAACGTACATCATTTACAACGATGTCAGCTTTCATTATCCTACTAATGTGGCATTTTAGCGGCAGTATGTAGGTGCCAATTTGGTTAGGCAGGCCGGGTTTTGATCCGACAATGTCCCATGTGCCTGCACAGAAGACACAGTCTCAGCAATATTAAAATCGTAGAATCATTCCAATCGCACACGTTTAATTTCGACGTTCAAAGCTGTGAATTGCTAGCTTTTCCAGTGGTTTGGTAATTTGGTTTCAATAAAATGGTGGAACGATTTATGGTTGAAGGAAGGTTTCGCTACGTACATGGAACACATCTCCCTGGACGCGATTACGCATGGCTATATGAATCTGGTAATGGTTTTTATTAGACTCCACTAGCCGCAGCAGTAGTAACATCTTTACTTGCAGAAAGACTTCTTCATCATTAACAAACTCGAGAAAGCACTTGATGCTGATGCATTGGCTACAAGTCATCCTTTGATAGTCAAGCTGGAGAGAGAAGTTGAGGTGCATGAAGCCTATGATGCTATAACTTATGACAAAGGAGCCTCTGTACTTGCGATGATCTCCGCCGTGATGGATGAAACTGAATTCAACGAAGCGATCAAGGTAACCATACCGGTGTTACGAACACTCTTTCCTGCATGTTTGTCAGAGAATTTCGGGTCTAGTTGTAGCATAAAAAGATATGAACCGTAATGTGTGCGTTGAGAAAATCATAAGAAAGCGGTGCTGTACGCATATCTGGAATATTTTTAGGTGTTGCTATATCGTTCCATTCTTAGACAGCCGCCGCCGTCGCCCTTTTCTGCTACCTATGTGCCATTTTCACTGCACGCTTTATGAATAAGGCCATCTTTGTCACTAATTGTAAGATGTCAATATTGATAGTGAAGGGTAAAGTCTCCCGGTGCGAGTATTTGGTTAGAACACAAATCCGTAACAGTTTGAACATTTTCACTCAAGAAATCAGAAGTGATCTAAAGTCTTCAGTTCCTGATGGTTATATAGGGTTGGCAAGGAAGTTTTGCGAGAAAAATTCAAAGCATTGAAGATTTGCACAAACAATGTGGAAATGATAGCAAGGTTGATAAATTTTAGGACATTTTTCTGGCAATTGGAACATGAGTAAACACGGGCACGTAGGTCTCCGCAGCTTACCACCGATGGAAGGACAACACCCAATTCGCACCATCACATTCTATTAGGCATTCCAAGGGGAAAAGGCGGATGTAGCGGCTTGAATTATCAGCAACCTATCGTATGCTAGCACTGCTCACCACAGAAGATGCTAACCTTTGAAGAAACGCTAGCATCGCCCCTCAATTTTATGAAGACTGAAGGGCCAATACTCTGATTGTGGGTTGCTAAGCGCACACTAGATAGTCAGAGCTGTTCGTTGACCCTATGAACCTCAGCAGTACCTGATCATCGCGTAGAGAGGAAGACGTCTANCTACAGAAAGACAGCGCACGTCGAAATTTCGCTTAAGACATCTGCCAAAATTTCACCGAACTCGCTTCGTTTCAGGTTGTCCATCAGTCGCACCCGAAACCTGTCCCTTTTCGTGACCATGTGCCCAGCTTTCACGAGCGTCTCTTCAGTGAGGAAAAGTCCGTAACTTAACGTGGTGTCAAAACGGCAGTTAATGGTTTCTTTGAGTCACAGCTTCTTAAGTTCTAGACGAAAGCAGTGTTTCGCTCAAAGGAAAAGGAAAGTTGATGATCTCTTTGGTGGATACATATCCAGAAATTGATTGACCTAGAAAATTTTAGAAACAAAATCAAAATGACTTCCATTTTGTCACAGGACCCTCTTGCCAACCTAACAGAATGGTGGCAAAGGTTTCCTGAAGTGGACGCGAAAGGATTTCGTAAAGAGTATCATTAAACTTCATTGTGGATCAACCTATCACATACGACCTACTGCCTGTTACCAGTTCCTGTAGAGGCACTACGCCAGAGTCTTGCAGCGAAAATTGCGCTGTATCCAAAAACGATATTATCCACCATTCCAAAAAGGATATTATCCACCATTCGACCTTGCATCCATGGCGCAAGCATTCTGCTTCTAGAGAAATCGAATTTGGAGACCATCTGAAGGAAAAAATTGTTGATTGTCGTCAACTAAAAATGTAGTGGACTAATTCTTTTAGTGGCATCCGTCGCAATTTTAGAATTGAAAGATTGAAAAGCTACCCGGATGTTGGGCACATTTAATAGAGGTGATCATCTTGCTGATGGAAGGTTTCGCCCAAAAAAAACTACAAAGCCAGCCAAGCCTTTCATCTCCACGTTATCGTGCCGACTTGTCTCAATGGATGAAAGTGTGATTTGTACCTCGTGTCATTTTATAGGCCGCATACGCATTCAATCCACCACTACGATTCTGAATGGAAGTCACACAGGGCGCATGCTAAAAACGGGATTAACCAACGTTAAGAAAATTTATCCTTCATCCTTTATCTATGCCATAATAACGAGGAAATCTTCAAGAGTTATATTTCGAGGGCACGCAAAAGTACTAGCCGGAGATATCCCCACTTCTCTGACTTTATAATTGGATAGTAGCATCTTCGAGGAATTGTTCCTGTCTAACTGAAGATAAGAGAAGAATGGAATTTGAAGCTCAAAGAAAGCAACTACGAGGAGTCAAAAGGAAAAGATGGAGAAACGCGGTCAATAATGATCTCTTCGGGCAAAGGTAGCTGCAGAAGATGTATGTACATAAATCGAAAGATGTGGCAACGAATAACAAGAACAGCGGACTTTGCGGTCGCGTGGGCTCAACGCTAGGGAAGGGAAGAACAAACACATCCGCCAAACCCAGGTCTGATTCCGCATGATTTTCGCAATTTCTCTCGAGTAGTTCGATCGCCCTCCCACTCACCCAACACCTTGTTTTGCACACATAGCTTACCAGGGCCGGTTTGACTGTATCGGCTGGGTTCAGAACAGTGTTTGCTATGAAAGTCGAGAATGGTTATACTGCTTCCCATTCAAAAGTGCATAAGAAGTTGAAGGTAAACAGTAGCATGGGTTTCCCGCAAACGTTTTGTCCACTAAAGTTTTCTTTGAAATGGTTCTAGTTGAAACCGCTGTTATCAGCAGCATGGCAAGCGTCCCTTGGTAGAGGTGGTGCTTCCTCAGTACAGGGATGAGGGTTTGATTTCCCCATCGGCAAGGCTTCGCAAGCGCTTTCCTAAAACAAGGCTTTTGGACATTTTCAACATTTTCTATAACTTGACGGTGTGTGATACATAGTGCGCCACTTGACACTACACCACTTCCGCCCAAATATACGCCCCCTTGGCCAAATAAGTATGAAAAACTCAACGTTATTGATACAATCAAACAACGTGTGATGAAAACATATTGCTTACAGATTTCGAATCTTGCATTGGCTACCTTTCTACACTCATCCAGAAACAAGTCGGTCGCTTTAAAGGCACCGTTCACGATGAAAAAGGTTACTGAGTTCTTTTCCTTTAGGAATACTCAGCGCCCCCCCCCCCCCAGGGGGGGNCCCCCCCCCCCATGGGTGGTAGAAGAGACCCTCTCGCTCCCACAATCTCGGCGCTTAGGGCATAGTGGAAGCCCCGTTGCTGTCGTAGTTCGCTTTCCCGCCCCTCGATCGGTGTCACGTTAGACGAGTGTCAAGACAATACAGATTGCTATTATTCGTTCTAGGACCCACTCACAATCAGCTAATCGCCGAGTGATGAGACGATGTTTTTCTCTCATTCTTTTTTCCTCTGTTTTTCTTTTTGCTGCCGCGATCCCTTCTTTATTTCCTACTCCTAGAGGCTGACAAAGGTGAGCTACTTTTGCTGTTACTAGGGTTTTATTGTTTTATGCTTATAAGTGAATGAGTTTTTGCTTACAATTGTCTATTATTCGCACCAGGACGCGCAGTGAAACGCACTGTTTAGCTCGTCCGGACGCCCCACTCTTCTTCATTTTTCTGGTTTCATTCTCGTCCAGCCCCCTTTTCAACGGCTTCTTTCCGAAGCTTTTATCACTTCGGAAACACCGATGCACGCAGTTTCTTCACCTAAGTCGCACTAGTTTCAAACTTGTCTTTCATTTTTCATCATAATCTAGATAACCCAAAATTATCGTGAACTGTGCCTTTAACGAATAATGCTGGCACAGCACATGGAAGTAGATCGAAAATTCCACGGCAGATCTGTAGAAATGCTTGCTGTTGCAAAGTTTATTAGTCCTTAGGTAACAAATTATAGTGCAATTATATAGTCTTCTTACATCATCTCAATCAAGTGTAGGAACGTTCTGTCTCAAGTGAATGCGATGAACTTTGTCAGCGGGGGTGAGCGAATCCTTTTGCTGCGCCTCACAAGGAAGAGTACTACACAAGGGGGTGTTTTCTACAGTCCGAACAACTAAGTATTCCTCATACTCCACATATTTCAACTCAGACTATCTCCAAGCAAAGTTTTAGAGCTCATAACTTTTTTAGGAGTCTCATGGGCAATTCTGACTTCTTTTTCCGTTAGGCATAGCTGTATCAACAGCATTCAAAACTGTTTATACATTTATGTCTCCGTGCAGTGTTTCATGTTGTTTTGAACCCTTCCCTGGTTAGTGCTGTTCGTTTTTCGCTGACCACTATCGAATTCCGATCACATCTTTGTCATTCACGAGGTGGAGCTGAACATTTGGTTCGACGACCAGTTAAAGTTTAGATGTAATAACTTCTACAATTGAATAGTGGAAAAAACGATTGTAAAGTTGGGGGAGAGTGTTAGGAATAACCCTTTGCTGGCTGGTGTTGCTGATCTTTTTAGGCGTGGAATTTCAAGAGTGGAAGCAGAACTCAGTTAGCCGAAAAGAGAATAAAATCCAAAACAAAGCTGTAATGGGCATACTTTTGGTTATCTATGTCCGATATTTTGTCCATAAAATTGGTTGAACTAATCGGTTTATTTCCGGAGGATGTGGAGTTGATGCCCAAATGTCTCGATCTTCGAGGCACAATTCACGATTAAAATGGTTTCTATGTTCTCCCCTAGGAATACCGAGTGTCCTCCAATGGTGACAGGAAGGACGCTGCCGAGTTCCAAAATTCAACAGCTAGGCTATAGTGGGAGCCCCGTTACCGGGTCACCCGGACTTCCCGTCCCTCGATCGATGTCACGTGGGACGAGTGTCGAGGCGATACAGATTGTAATATTCGCTCTAGGACCCATACACAATCGGCTGATCGCCGAGTGACTAGGCGATGTTTTTCCCCGTTCTTTTATTCTCTGTTATTCTTTTTGCTGCTGCGATCCCTTAATTTTCTACCCCGAGAGGCTGAAAAAGTTGAGTTATTTTTGCTGTTACTAGCGTTTTTGTTAACTTATGCTTCAGTGAATGAATGTTAAATAACATTTTTGCTCACCGTAGTTTGCATTTGCGACAGATTTCACACGTACGCAATGGCACACATTGTATAGCTCGTCCTAACATCCACTTTTCTTCATTTTTCTGGCCTTCTTCTCGTCCACCTCCCTTTTTAACAATTTTTTCGAAGTCTTTTATCCTTTGGAAGAACAATTTTCTCGAAGTCTTTTATCACTTTGGAAACGCCTATTGTCGTACTTTCTTTGCCTTCTTCGCACTATTTTCCGCCTTATTTTACATTTTTCGCCATAATCTGGATTACTCAAAATTATCGTGAACTGTGCCTTAAAAGCG